CCTCGGGCAAATGCTCGAGATTTGTTATTTCGGCACTATGCCCTTTAAAAAGCATTAAATAAATAGGTCTTCCCACTCTAATGACTTTTTCCACTACTCTTTTTTTACAAAAGAAATTTTGTTTTTCTTTTTTCTTTTCACTCATTTCTTTTGCACTAAAATTTTCCTTTTTCTCACTTTTTTTCCTCTCTTCTTTTTCTTTCTTAATTTCTTTCTTTTAGACCTCATAAATTTGTTGCGGTGTCATCGGAGTAAGAGTGATTTTCCTGCCGCGGTGTTCAAAGGAGTATCTATTGTAGAAACCATCATGCAAGACTTTTCTATCATACTGCCAAGGCCTCCCTATTAGCAAATGTGCAGCCTGCACAGGAACAACATCACATAAGATCTCATCTTCATACTTCCCCATCTTGATTGGAACCAACACTTGTTGATGGACTTTGATGTCATATGTCTTACTCAACCATTGCAATTTGAATGCGGTAATGGATGTTTTTGTAAATTTAATCCCAATTTGGTAACCAATTCAACACTTGTTACGTTTGCACAGCTTTCAACATCAATGATTAAGTTGCAAACCTTTCCATCAACAAAGCACTTGGAATGGAAGATATTCTCACGCCGCTCCTCTTCACCCTTGGCCTGAATGTTAAGTAATCTCCTTACCATCAAAGTTTCTCCATCTACCGGCCCCACGTATCCCTCATCGCTTTCTGATTTGGACTCCTAGCCTTTTCACTAGCAGATTCTAATTCTATATTGTCTCTAGGATCACTCTTTTCATGCTCTGAATCAGTCACAATTATCCCTTTCTTGACCATCATATTGAACTTGTTTGGACACTCCTTAGCAATATGTCCTCTTCCCTGACATTTAGAACACTTAATTGTACTTGGTTTTGTAACTTTTTCTTTACGTTTATCTCTTTGCTCTCGGGACTCCTTTGGCTTACTAGATTCAGCTTTAACATCCTCTTTGTTTCTATCATTATGTCGCCATGAAAAACTTGATTGAGACTGAATTCTCCTCCTCTTAAGTATTTGTTCCATCTTGATGGCCAACTGGACCAACTCCTCATAATCCACATAGTGTTGCTTGTCAACCTCGTCTTTGATCTCCCAATTCAGTCCTATGTGAAAACGTGCCATGGATTGCTCTGAATTCTCATATATGTTAAGTCTAGTCATGAGCTTATCCATCTCTTGAACGTACTTGGGTACACTAAGTGATCCTTGTACCAACCCCTCAAGCTGTTGGTACACTATGTTTGCATGTTTGATGTATTAATTACCAACTGAAACTACAGTGTATCTAAAATGTCACTGCCTCACGTATTATTTTTATATTATCAAGTGAAACTGCAATTGAAATGAAATGAAATTGTAGTTGTGTTGAAATGAAACTGCAGTGTATACAAAATGAAACTGAATAACAATTTCACATATTTGAGTGTATATTACCCAACGAAACTGTAGTTATATCAAAATGATACTGTAGTTCTGTTGAAATGAAACTGCAGTGTATATAAAATGAAACTGAATAACATTTCACATATTTGAGTATTTATTGTGTAATAAAACTGTAGTTATATCGAAATGATCATGTAGTTGTGTTTTAATGAAACTATAGTGTATATAAAACAAAATTAAATAACATTTTCACATATTTGAGTGTATAAATATCAAATGAAAATGTAGTTATAACGAAATGAAATTGTAGTTGTGTTGAACTAAAACTGCAGTGTATACAAAATGAAACTGAATAACAGAGTTACTTTTTGCGGAATAGCGCGGAACCGCACAAAACAGGTACCATTTCTTTTCATTAAACATAACGACATTGTTTTGAAACTCGGTGCATAATCGATTATGCACCGCGGTGCACGATATAATTTGCCTTTATTCTCGCTTTAGACTAAATACAATCGTTATACCCTACATCACGGTGCGCGTAGCACTGTGCGCCGCGCGCCTCCCAAAACGACGTCGTTTTGGGAGGCGCGGTAGGAAGTTGCTGTGATTATGTATATTTGTTCACACAATTATGTATATTTGTTCATACAATTATGTATATTTGGTTATACAGTTATGTACATTTTTTATACAATTATGTACATTCTTTTTATACAATTATGTACATCCGAATCAGAAAATTTATGTGTATTATGTTAAGAGTTGATGTGTATTATGTTAAAAGTTTATGTTTATTATGTATTATGTTAGATTATGTGTATTATCTTTTAAAAAGAGTATGTATATTTTGTTATATAATTATGTACATTCATGTATACAATTATGTGTATTCTAGTATAACATTATGTACATTTTTGAACGTGGGATTTTTTTAAAGAAAAATTAACTGCCATACACTGGGGCGGAAAGTTTCAAAAAAAAAAAAAAAAAAAAAAAACGACGTCGTTTTACATCTGGGCGCATAGTGCAACGCGCGCCATGGTGTAGGATATAAATTGCCGACTAAATTGGGACTTCATAAACCTGCTCATGCGAACACTTATTCTCCAAACTTCAGTTGATCTTAATGAGCCCACTCTGAGGCTCTATACTCTTAAGCCTAGCCCAACTGTAATCGGGTTTCTTTGAAAATAGATTGTAAAATAAATAAAAAGAAAGCCCAATTTATTGGCCTCTTCACCTCGTACAAATTATAGGCAAATTATGTTGTGCATCCGTATGCACCATGCATGGTGCATACGGATGCAAAAACGACGTCGTTTTAATAAAACGTGCGTCTCTCCTTAATAAAAAAAATCAGGTTTGATTCCCAGCAACAACATATGAACTAAAATTTCATAATCGATAAACTATAATTCCATAATCGATGAACTATAATTTCATAATCTAATCTATGAACTAAAAATTCCAGAATGAATGAATTAAAATTCCATAATCTATAAACTAAAATTTCAGAATTGATGAACTACAATTCCATAATCGATGAACTATAATTCCATAATCAATGAACTATAATTCCATAATCTATGAACTAAAATTTCAGAATGAATGAATAATATAATGTTGTTGCTGGGAATCGAACCTGAATCTTTTTAAAGAGGAAACGCGCGTTTTTTAATAAAACGACGTCGTTTTGGCATCCGTATGCACCATGCATGGTGCATACGGATGCACAGCATAACGATTGCAAATTATACCATGGACTGCTAGGGTTCACCTTACATTGTCAACTTTGGTTCTAAATGACATTCATGGCAAATTTTATTGCGGACCATGATGCATGTAGTAATGTGGTCCATGAAATAAGTACGGAATATCATTTTAATTACATTTCAGTTTCATTTGACGATATTGCTCTGTCTTTTAGTTTTATTTTTCACACACACTAGTTTCATTATACCAATACCAAAGTATTATTTTAATTCTACCACAATTTCAATTCATTTGCCAATACATTATTGCATGAGCTCTATTTTATTGTTTCATTTTTTCCTCACACACTAGTTTAATTATAGTAATATTAAAGTATTATTTTAATTACACTCTAGGTTCATTTGACAATATATGTTATTATATGACTCTGAATTTTAGTTTCTTTTTTCATGCACACTAGTTTCATTATAACAACACTAAAGTATCATTTTAATTATACTACAGTTTCATTTGACAATATACATTGTTGAATATTTTTTAGTTTCATTTTCCACACACACTAGTTTCATTATTGCAATACTGGAGTATCATTTTAATTATACTACAATTTCATTTGACAATCATGATCCACCAAGCACTTTGGACTACCACTATATAACAACTGGACATTCATATTATGTGATGTAGTAAACTAATTATGTACATGTAAATAAATTCAAAATATATAATATGTTAACTACATTCACATAATGTGTTAACTGCAGGTACATAATATGTTAACTACAGAAACCTAATGTGTTACTCTAAAAATTATATGTCTGCAGTTAACAAATTATATATTGGAGTTAACAATTTATGTACATGTAAACAAATTGAAAGTACATAACGTGGTAATTACAAACACATAACATGATAATTACAGACACATAAATTGTTAACTCCATATATAAAATATTAAAATATGTTAACGGTAGGCACATAAGATGTTGGTTATCACGTCATGTGTCTGCAATTAACCTATTATGTACCTTCATAACAATTTATGTGTTTGTAGTTATATTGTTATGTGCCTGTAATTACCATGTGCCTTTAATTTGTTTACATGTATAGAAATATTTAACTGTAGATAAAGAATGTGTCAATTACATGTACAGAATTGAAAGTTATTTTTGGATCAAAATTCACAATGCAAGGTAGACCTTGGTCCATGGTATAATTTGTCAAACCCAATCATGCTAGTAAGAATATAATAAGAAAGCTCTCAAAATGAGCGGCTCAACTGGTTACCGTCTTGAAGAGGTAAAATTTATCACAAGAGATTAAGATTGAGTTTCACTGACATTAATTTGGGATGGACAATTTCACCTCTTGTCACAAGAATTAAGTAAGGTTGAGAGTTTGATCTTTAGGTTTTGGGAATAGAACAATCTTAAATCTCCAGGCGGACCAGGTCAGCTGTCTCACCTAAAAAATGTGTTTACAATTTAGCGAGGGATACTCTGGGTATACCCAAAAAGAAAGGTAGGAGAAAATGAATAGTTGGGTTCTCCCTCCTTTAGTGTTCAGATACAGCATAGACTAGAGAAATGCAAGAAAAAGGGGAAAAGAAACAAAACAAATAAATTGGAAGGAATATGAGAACAGGTCTCCCATGGCGTAAGACCAGAATAAGTAATTGAAGATCACTAAGACATGCCCAGAAAACCCTGTGGAAGAAACCAATAATCACATGTCACAGGCTAACTTCTCAAACGTTTTCAACACAAAAACTTGGAATGAAGATTCTTATCGAGTGCATGGGGACACGTGACTCCATCTTCAACTATAAATAAGTTGCAGATTTCTCTGAAAATTTATGCAGACAAGAATCAGAAAATGGTGGCCAAGAAACCCCCAAGAAAACGAGGCAATCGCATCGCCGAGAAAGTCCACAAAATTCAGGGGACCGGTCTCCGGCGGCCCCTGTTCAATGACCGAAGAGCTCTCCCCCCGCCGCTCTCCCCGGACACAAAAACCACCCTCCCCCCGCCGCTCTCCCCAGACACAAAAACCATCTTTCTTGATTTAGACGAAACACTCATCTATTCCCGGAAAGTCCCTTCACCGGCAGGGTACGACTTCGTCGTTAAGGCGCCGTTGCGCGGGAGACTCGGCGACGTCGACGTCTTGGTGTCGAAGCGGCCACTCGTGGATGAATTCCTGGAATCCCTGAGCAAGAAGAAATACGAGATTGTGGTGTTCACGGCGGCGCCAAAGGCGTATGCGTCTCCGATTCTGGACAAGCTGGACAGAAAAGGATTGATTTCGCACAGATTATACAGGGATTCTTGCCGGAAAGTGGACGGCGAGGAACTTGTGAAGGACTTATCGGGGTTGGGGCGTGATATGAAGAGGGTTGTGATCGTCGACGACAACCCAACTAGGTATTCTCTCCAGCCGGAAAATGCAATTCCGATCTCCTCCTTTAGTAATGATGTGGATGACTGGGAGCTAAAGAGGTTGATTGAGTTCTTTGATGCCTGTGATGGAGTTGAAGATATGAGAGTCGCTGTTAAGGATTTTCTGTCAAAACAGGTACTATTATATGCCTTCTTCCCCCTCCTTTCTTTTTTCAAAATTTCATATTTAGATTTGCTTATTCTTTGTTTTCTACTTGTGTACTTCCATCTATCTATGGAGTATTACTATAATTAAATCTTATTAAACAAATAGAAAATATAAAATAAGACAAAGAAACTACTTTTTTAACCATATGCTGGTGTGCACGTACAAAGGATCTGTCCACTTTGGATATAATTTCTACATTGTAGCTGTTAAATTTTGAACCATGGTCTACATTGTAGTTGTTAAATTTTGAACCATGGTCTCTTCTCTTGAATACTACCTACTAAACCAGTGAACTAAGTTCGTACAAACAATCTTGGTCTCTTCTCTCGAATACTACCTACTAAACCAGTGAACTAAGTTCGTACAAACAATCTTTTTATTACAAAGGAAGAGAGACACCCACATATACACAACATTCGCCTACACCGAGGCTGGAACACTAGACCTCCCACATAAGGATCAAATTGGATACCATCGGTGTTTTAGAAAATTATTATCAGTCAAAGTCTAACTTATTTGACCAGTAGTTTTTATCACTTCAGTTACCAACTTCTAAACTTGTTCAATTTTATCTCAATTATATGCATTTTATTTAAAATAGTCCTTTGTCTAAATAAAAATAGTCTTAATTAAGACCATTTTAGTTAACAATTACATAATTGAAGATAAAATTGAATAAGTTTAAAAGTGGAGGATCAAAGTAGTGAAATTTTAATAGTCGAGAGACCAAATCAAGGATTAACTCTTAAATGAGGACTACTTTTAGGATGATGATTAGAATGATGGATGAATCACTATCCAAACGGAGCCTAAATTCCCTTGTGATTGAACAGTAGTAACTGTAACCTAATATTTGTCCGCTTCCGTGGAACCCTTTTAAACCGTAACCCCTTCAGCCTCCCCAAAACCCTAGCTGCTACTCCGCAGAAACTCGAACTCTTAGAAGCGATGGTACTCTCTCTCTCTCTCTCTCTCTCTCTAGATTCACAAGTGATTTAGGCTCTTGATGTTCTTAATTCTCTATCTTCTGCTTCATAATTATGAATTGCATCGCACAGTTAATGTACTTTTTCACACAATTATTATGTATCTATAGGCTCAAGAAGCTGTGAACCCCAAAGCATACCCGCTCGCTGATGCGCAGCTCACCACAACTATAATGGACTTGGTTCAACAAGCTGCTAACTATAAGCAGCTTAAGAAGGGTGCTAATGAAGGTTATTTTTAATTTTTATTTGAACTTTTATGTTTGCTATTTGGTTTATGATTTTTACACAATTTTTGTATTAATGAAAATTAATAAACGCATGGTTTGCTTCTGTTTCAGCTACTAAGACATTGAACAGAGGCATTTCTGAGTTTATTGTCATGGCTGCCGACACAGAACCGCTGGAAATCCTTCTTCATCTGCCACTTCTAGCAGAAGATAAGGTATTGTGCAATCTTGCTTCACAGCTATTCTTTAGCATTATGTTTCTTTAATACATCCATATTCGATCTACCCCCTTGAGCTCTGTTTTAAGATGTTTAAAATAGAAAAAAAATAAAGATGTGAAATGATTTACACTTGAATGCTTGCCTTGATTGATATTGCCCTTCTGAAATCTAAATTTATAGAGTATTCTTGCCCTTTTTAACTCACTAAACAACTCATTGATAAAGGGTAATGGATACATAGATGAATGGCTCTCTGAAATCCCCAAGTTGATGAAACTTGGCCTGATAAATCTTGTACCAAACAATTTTAAGTGATCAAGTATAAGTGGAATAAGGTTTTGTTAGATAATAGATATGAAATATATTGAGTTCGTATACAATAAAAGAGATTTTACTTCAAATGTTTCAATATTTTTACATTATTTGTTTCAGTGAAAAGAATTTTCAAATTACTTTTAATTAATAGGGGACACAGTATTGGGTTTTATGACAATTTATTTGAGATTTGTTTTACTGCCTACTATCTAATCTCTTCCAACTTATTGCACTTTGATGCTAAGTTTAAATGAAATCTGTTATGATGCTAGTATTTCTTAAAAAGTAAATTCGTGATATCTCTGTTCATAGTAGACGCAAAAGCATCTTTTTTTGAACGGTACTTTACATCTTAAACCTGAACCAAATTATTGCTCCGTAGTATCTATGCATTTGAGCTGTCAATCTGTAATACATCATGCACTGGGTTGTATCCTGCAATTTTATGATGTAAATTATTTATCAGACAGAGCCTTGATGTATATTCTCTGATTGTTCTGCATCATTAGCTGATTGGTGATTTGTCAATTGCATTTACAACTTTTCCTTTTCTGGAAGTTGCCTGTTTGTACACTCTACCAAGTTTTTGCTACACTATTGTGCTACATTGTTCCAACATGTGGCAAAGGGATCTTATCAAAATTGGCTGACATTTGATTATCAATTGTTCCTGTTGTACTTTCAGAATGTTCCGTACGTTTTTGTTCCTTCGAAACAAGCTCTTGGGCGAGCATGTGGTGTTACCAGACCTGTGATTGCTTGTTCAGTGACTAGCAACGAAGGGAGCCAATTGAAATCTCAAATTACACAACTGAAGGTAAGTCTATTTTTATTTACTCCTTTAAAAAAATACGCTTAAAAATACTACTTAACATTCGTCATTTATGATCACATATTGAAACCCGTCTTTTTCGTTACTGGTGTAGGATGCCATTGAGAAGCTCCTGATCTAAATGCGGAGAACAAATTCAGCATGATGGGCCTCAGGAACCATATTCCAGATTCAGTCTGAGGCTTGGACTGACCTAGTTACCCAGTGTGACTGGGGACCATTTTCTGTTTGTTTGATTACAAATTTCAAGTTTAAACCAAACTTATGTTCATCTGAATTACTTTTTGTATTGGAGGCTTAAGGAGGATATTCAAAATCTATGAATGCATTGTGTAATAGCTAAGGTGTCAATTAGTTAACTTTGTTACTTAGTTAATGTGTTCAAGGTGTTAAAATTGAGTTTTTTTTTTTTTTTTTTTTTTTTTTTTTTTTTTTTTTTTTTTTTCCTTTTCTCCTTTTCTGTAACATGCAAAAAATGATTTTTTTTTCTTTTTTTTTTTTTTGTAACAAATCCTTTCACATATTTGCTGAGGGAGGGATCTTAATACTCTTCCAATAACAAGTCTTATTACCTAAATTGGCTCTTATGGTGGATTTATCAGTTTACAAGAACAGATTAATTCGGTTAGTTTTAAATAAAAAATTAACTGAAATTCAATTAACTAAAATATAAACCTATTATTTTGCTCCAAAATGACATAATTATGTAAATATTGCAATTAATATATTATGTACATTTAGTTTATTTATAGGGACATATAAAAATATATAAACCTATTATTTTTATTTAATTATAATTATTATTATTATTCACCTGAATCCTCCCATTACTTACACTATAACATAAATGAACTTCAAGACAACAATTTCTTTTTGAAAGAAACCTAATGTTGTATAATTGCTAAATGCATTATGAATTATCATAGTAAAAACACTCTTAAGCCCTCACTCTAGCAATCATTTTTCTAAAGCCTTGGTTATGTACTTCCCTTTATGTGAAGTAACATTGACAAAGGACTTTTTATTTTTAATTATCTTTCTATAGGTTCCACTACTGGTCTATGAAATTTGTAATTATGCACATATAATTAATCCTCTATACAAAAGTTCATGTATCAATTGTAATACTAACTCTTTTGAGTGCTAGACCAAAAAAACTTCTTTAAATTCATCCTATCATCATAATAAATTTGGTAGATGTTCCTACTAACATTCTATTTAGTTGGGATTTTAAATCTAGGACATGTAACAACAACAAACATAATAGTCATCTGACCCGACCTTTACAAATCTAAAGGGCAGCTCATCAATTATGATCATTTTTGTAAAGATCATCCTAATAGCATCTTGATAAAAAAAAAAAAAAAAAAAAAAAAAAAAAAAAAAAAAAAAAAAACCATGTACCTAACACCCTTTCATTACTCTCACTTACAACAAAATTAGGCATATGTTCGAAGGTTAGAAGTGACTATCTAGTATCCTTAGAATGTGGAATTTTAAAGCAATTTAACATGTGATTTCTTAAAGAAGTGTCATGTTCATTAGACTAACGGACAAATATTTGTGCGCAATATACACCATTTCATTTAATGAGACCATACCATCATTGTTTTTTATTTTCTCAAAGTGATCCCATACGTACTTTTGATTCAGTTTCAAAATCTTTCATTTTCTTTGCAAGAACAACTGGATGTAGAGGCATAGACTGTTGAGATTTATTTCTCGCTACATCTTGGACTTCCACCTCATGTTCCTCACTTGACAATGGAGGAGGTTGGCTTCTAGGTACACTAATACTTTCCATCTATAAAGATATGCATTAGTATATTTAGTAGGAAAAATATGAATATAAAATAAAAAAAAAAATCAAAAAGAGGGTTTCCAATTTCAAATTAACAAAGATTGAACATATGATTTCCACCAATAGGGCAAATTATAACATAAAATCAAAATTAAAAAAATTACACAAATTACAACAAAAACTCAAAAAGTTTTAGAATGACTGAATTAGGGCTATATATATATATATATATATATATATATATATATATATATATATATAACTTCCACCATTCAAAATTTAATAAACTTAGAATATAAAATCAGAACTAGAGCATATACCAAATTCCAATTAAAAATTTAAGAAATCAAAACTAAGATTTTCAAAAAAGTGTAATTGACACATATAGTGAAGCACATAGCTTCAACCATCACAAACAAATAAAACTTACAATTAATCAAAGTAGAATAGTAGAACATAAAATCAAAACTAGAGCATACAATGTAACACACCAAAGAGTAAGACTATAAGTTAGTTAGAGACAGAATTGAAGGTATGATATGATCTAGGACTTGAAGTTGAGAGAATTAGAGAAGTTGAGAGGAGAGAACACGAGAATAGAGACTATAGAGTAGAGAGGAACACAATGGCGTGAAGAAATGAGAAAAATGGTCTAGGGTTAGAGGGAGAAGCTTATTAATGCACACACCCAAAACGACTCCATAAGTATATGATATATACACAAGTATCTTACATTAGATATTCAGACAAATCGGGACAAAAAAATAATGTCTCTAACTCGATTAAGGAAATCCGCATTATGCTCATATCGGATTGGTTCTCCACATTGTGGATTCAAATATCCACATCAAATGGAAAATCACATTTAAGGTTAGACGAAATATTTGGGTGGATTGGGTTTTGCCCACTCCTAACAATAATAGGTTAGCATGAGCTAATTACATTTTTTATCGGGTTCAAGGATCTATTTAATTTATTGTTTTTTTAAAAGTTTGATACTCTAATTGCACTTTTAGGATGGTCTAAGGGCATATTTGGTCCATATATACTCTTTGATGAAATTTTTATTAATTTAGTACAAATTAAAATTTCAAACCTAAATAAAAAATTTCTAAAATTCTAAATCAATGACTAAACCAAAATTGATTTTGTTAATATATTTAGTGAATTAATTTTTGATTTGAATATCTTTTCATTGTCGTGCACAATTGTTTGTAAATAGAGAGAAAAAATCGTAATTTGCAGTTCTAAACCTTAAAAATATAATCTTCGATAACATGTGGATGAATCAAAATCATCAGAACTATCACTTAAAAAAATAGATGATCAATAATACTTACATTAATAATTAAGATACTAAAATCCTAATTAAAAAAAAAAAAAAAAAAAAAAAAAAAAAACAAAAACAAAGAAGCTATTTTTCCTTATAAATCATAGCCATCCACCTACCTGTTGGTCCTTGACCAATGTGTGTCTGGTGCTATGTTAATGAATCAAATTTATTGTTCTGAGTAGGTGCATAATTAAAAATCAAAACTCACACCTCAATTGGAGTTCATGTCGGTTTCCTTAGCAACTTCCTAGCCTTCTTCAAAATTCCTATGTATGGGCTGTGTTGAGCAGGACTGCCGCATGTGCACCCTACCAACTAATACATATAATGTCTGATGGATCTCACCGCTTCACTATGCTTACTTCGTTTACTTCTCAGTGGTTCTTTGGTTATTGGTTGTCATATCATACTTAAAACCAATTGGTGATAAATACGACATTAACTATTTAATCACATCTCTCCATAGTAAGTCACAATATCATATCTCGAATCAGGGTCTGAACTCGGCTGACCTGACCGATGCCCAACAATGCCAGCAAATATGTGTGTTTAAAATGCTACAATTCGTCTCTGTAATGATGCATATGCATTCGCAGTACGTCTCTCAAGAGAGAGACAGGGAAGTCGTCATGTTATTAATGGAGATTCTTATTGTCTCTACAATCACAAGCCATCTGCCTTTTTAAAAATCAATAAATTATTGGTCATGCTGCAGAGTTGCTTGTTTAAGAATATTAGAATTGGTGTTATGTTTCGATTTCATTAAACACTTTTCCTAAGTGAAATTACAAGCTAATATGACCGTGACATTACATTGTTGTAAATAAATGTAATCAGGAAGTTAAATTCCCTAACTTAGAATAAAATAAATTTTATCTTCCTAAATAAATTGTTAAGGTAAAAAATTGCATTAATATTCTAAAAGGGAGAATCAACATTTTGATCTCTCAATTGTTTTCAATTGTCAATTTGTAGTACATAGTTTTCAATTTCAATCAATTTGATCATCGAATTGTTTAAAATTTCATCAATTAAACCCTTTCAAGAACTAAATTGACGAAATTTTAAAAATATAGAAATCACCATTTTGGTCCCCGAAAGTGTTTAATTGACGAAATTTTAAACAATTCGATGATCAAATTGGTTGAAATTGAAATCTATGGACTACATTGACAATTGAAAAATAATTGAGGGACTAATATGGTGATTAACTTTATTCTAAAAAGTTCGCATTTGAATACTCAGAAGACTCAAGTTCAAATGAGATATTTCAAGATTTTTTGAAGAGGTTGAAAGACTCGGCGTGAGACTTCTCGTTGAATGCTGTAGTAGCTTGAGCTTGAGCTTGAGCTTGCAATCTTTAGCGTTAGCTCTCTCTTCACTGACCTTTAGTTGATTTTTTTTTAAATTTTTTTTTTTGCACTTAGTCTTTCTTGATCTCAATATTGCCAGCACCTCATTCAGATTTGAATGGGGGTATTTATAGATAAGTTTAAAAATTTGTCTGTTAGAGGGAAACAAATTTCAAATGTCTCTTAACCATTGCGCAATGACCAATCGGTAAAATGATAGGTTGGAAATCATATCAAAAGCAACCTATCATTTTTACCTTTGCACATAGCTTTTTTCTCTTCACCTTTTGTCTATGCCTTTTTTAGAAATCAATCTTGGGATGTGTACCTCAAACATCTTTCTCCTAGGTAACATTCTTCTTGCAACTTCGCATTTTGAGGTTGTTCACTATTCACTTAGAGAATGTTCGAATACTGGATTACGAGAGGTTAGCTTTTACTCTTTGGAAGTTAGCCTTTCATACTATACCTCAGCAACCTTTCGGATTGACTTTCCTTAGTCAATCCTTGCTCTTTGGAAATTAACTTCTTACTTAAGTTAACTCTCATGCCCCCTTACTATCCGGCTAAGGTTGACCCTTCCACTTTTTAGTCAAATAACCTTCCGGTCTCGAACTCTTTGAGTTTTGTGTTATACTCCTCATAGCTTGAACTCTTCGTCTTCTACTCCTTGTAGCTTGACTTCTCGAAGATCATTTCTTTAAATTCTCTAGGTTTATTTACTTCTCGAATTAATTTTACTTCATGGATGATTTACTTCCCGCTGGGTAAGGTTTATTCTAAAAGTGACCTTTCAAAGATAGAAGAATATCCTAAGGTTACTTTTCGAATTGGTTTACTTCCGGTTAATTAACTTCCCGGTTGGTAAATTTTATTCTCTAAGTAACCCTTCAGACTCCTATTTCTAAATGAT